CCCTTGACTGATCTGTTTTTATTCATGTGGCCAATAAAAGAAAAGAAACCCTGTATACATTCTTTTTTTTCTCACTTGATTTTGTTATGTTTAGTCCTAAGTAATTGCTGTATTTTCTTTCTTTTTTTTTCAAATATACTTTGACTAATGTTGCTTAAAATTTATAGGCTGACTCACGTCTTCCTAATTACAGGCTTTTGGTGGCTGTCTCAGACTATTTTTCCCTATGTCAAATTTGTGTTTTTAAACAATTCAAAGAAAAATATTGTAGAGCTGATGAGCATTTGAACTAAGCTTCTTTGATAAATAAAACTATGTAAGTATTGAATCACTGAATTCTACACCTGAAGCTAATATTACAATGTATGTTAACTAACTGGAATTTAAATAAAAATAATCTACAGAAAATGGGAAAAAGTGTGCTGGCTTCGGCAGCACATATCATAAAATAGGAATGGTACAGAGAAGATTAGCATGGCCCCTGTGCAAGGATGATGCGCAAATTTGTGAAGAATATGAGAAAAAGCAGTATTGACTTTTTAATTTAGTTATATATAGTCTCTTCATTAAAACTTAGATTTTTAAAATGTCTTTAATTTTCTCATTAAAAGTAAAATATTTAAAACCCAAATGTTCTGAAATGGGTGAACCACCATGCAATTATTAACCTCTAATAGATAACACAATAATTTTATTTAAGATTATGAGAACATCTTGTGGGGGTGTTTGCAGTGCAGTCAGTAACAGTCACCATAGATCCTGGGATTAAGGTAAATCCTTTGTAGCAATTCTGCAGAGAATTTCAGGGTGCTCCTCAGAAAGATACTGAACTGTTCTGGGCTGTTTTTCTTCTAGACCACTTTGTAATGGTATTAATTTGTTAGCAACTGTGGGTCAGGTATAGATGTAAAACACAGAGATGCAAAAATAACTACAAAACAGACTATTCTCAAGTAACTCACCAAAAAAAAAGATGAACAAGTCAATCGGCGATTACGGTATGAGTTGACAAATAAACTGACATTCCGCCTGGTGTGACAGAAGCAAGCCCGGGAGCACCAGGCAGAGGTAGCCATCTTGCCCTGAGGCCACCGAAGGATGTGGAGCCAGTCCTTGAACTGATACTGAAGGATGGGCTCGTGTTCATCACACAGAGGTGGGGTGAAGAGGAGAGACTGTCGTTTCTTTCTACCTTCATTTGATTTGCTGTGAGAAGTTTTATGAGTATAGGACATGGATGGTTCATAGAAGGCACTGAGCTAAATGTTCTCTGTTTGACTTGTGGCTTTTGGTTCCTACAGAATGGTAGAAATACTGAAGCATGATGTAGCACCACAGTATCTATTTATAAAGTACATTTTCATGTTCCTTTCTCTGTCACAGCATTCCAGGTTCACGTTGATTCATATTTTGTTCATCTCTCTTCTGATAAAAACTCGTTCTGACCTGATACACATCGTTTTTTTTCTCGTTTTCTTTTCCCTTCTCTCTTGTTCTTCCTTTTTTCCCCTTGCTCACTCTTTTTTCCCTTTAAAAATCAATTTTGTAGTTGTTACATGGAGCAAGAGCAAAGACAGTGGATTGAAAGCATTTGAGTTGTATGTGTTAGGAGTAGTACCCCAAAAAGGAATATACTTCCCCAAAGTTTCTGATGCTCAATGAACATGTCTTTCCTTGGTCCTCAAGGACCTTTCCTTGAGGTCCAAAAAAGTTTGTGGAAAGTGCCACAGCAGTGATGTGTGCAGGCTTTTGCTTAAACAGCCCATTTGCTATAATCAAATTACAGTAGTATCCGCAAGGGCAACAGGAAAAGCTTGCACATGCTCTCTTTTCAGAAAAGGAGGCTGATTCCAGCAAAGCCAGGTTTTACTAAAATAGCTCACAATAGGGGAACGTGTCAGGACTGGGCCTGAATGGTATTTTTGTTAATATGTATTTTGTAGCTCATTCTAATGAGTAAACCAGTCTTGGCATTTATTCGACAGCTTGGGGGGTGGCGGTGTGCACTCTCTCCTCTAGATAACTAAGGTTTTATTTAGTGAATTGCAAATCTTTGATCTCTTAGTTGTTAAATCGTCTCCGTGATTTAAGGCAACCGATTCCCCAACTCACTGACACATTCTTGAATGGAAAGTTTTATGTCTGTGCAAATACATTGTTAATAAGATGTACGTGGTGAGTTAGTATCTCAACTGGCTATTTTAATGTCATGCTACTAAAAAGTGGATCTATCGATTGTTTGACAACGTATGTCTAGTATTCAGCAAATTGGGCACACGTTGGGTAAATACTGGCTGTTCCCATCAGAACACAGAGTTTAGAATCTGCAAAATGTCCCCAATATGTTCTTGGGAACATACTGGTTGGGAACAAAATCAACCATTCTGAGTTAGTTGCAATGATTCTGAGATTTGGGGGAGAAAATCCTAGTTTGTTCTCTGGCTTCTTCTCACTAGCAATTTTTTTTCCTACCACTTCTTTGGACTTTTGAATGCTTGAGATTGACACAGTATCCCACAGGATGACATAATAAAACTGAACTATAAGATGGCTTTTCTGTCTCATCTGCCATTGGAGATACAGTGTGACCCATAGAGCACTGTTGTCTCTGTTGTCTAGATTTTTGGATTTTATTGACCAATAAAATTAAAAAGGAAGGAACAACATATGGTTGCCAGATCTTTATTTAGCTATGTAGGACATTAAAAAAAAAACTTAAAAAAGACAAAACTAATATCTACCATCACCATTTTCCAAAAAGGAAGGCATATATTTTACCATCAAAATGAATCAAGGATAAAATCTCAGAATAAGTGGAGTCCTTTGCAACGCAGTGATTGGCGATGCTGCGTTGATGTTTTCTCCGTGGACAGATGAGCATTTTGCCAAAGAATGTTATTCACTCTTGCATTGTGTGTTAGGATCTGCTTTCAGAAGATCCTATATCATCAACCCACTTCTCATAGTCTAGGTACAGTTTTTGGTTTCTTTTTAATGAATGAAGAGCTTGCAAATGGATTCTTGTCTTTTTTGGTGAAAGTTTATTAAAGGTTTTAAATTATTAAAGAGCTAGTGAGTTAACATGATTTCATCTATGTAGTCATGAGTGGTTGCTGGGCATGTACTAAAGAATGTGATTCTCCATGATATTGGAGGGCTTAAATATATGTACTTTGTCTACATCCATGGTCTTCACTCAGTATTTTGCTTCCTGTCTGGTGTCTGCTTTTGCTGAAACTTTTCTTTCTGTGAATTCTTTTTCTTAATTACCTTTGTCAAGACTTGTTGCTCAATCAGTGAGAATACAGTGATAGATTACAATCTACTCTTTGCTCAAAATATCCTTCAATATTTCAAAGAATTCCCCAAAGAGGCTTTTTACATTTCTAGGGAGCATTGAAGATAGGGTAAATTGTGTCATGGAGATCTTTCAGATCCTAAAACAGAGAATTCAGAGTTCTACAAATCGGTTTTGGAAAATGGCATCATAGTTCTTGGTTCTTGTCACATGGATATAAATATCATACATTTTTCTTTCGATTCTTTTTTAAACTAGTTTAGTTTTTTTAATATCTTCTTTAAGAAGACATTACAGCATACAACTGAACCCCCAGCATGTTAGTTAAACATGGGCTGTAGATCCATAAGTAGTAGAATGGAATTTAAATTTAAATTTAATCTTGGGGCGCCTGGGTGGCTCAGTTGGTTAAGCATCTGACTTCAGCTCAGGTCATGATCTCACAGTTCGTGAGTTCAAGCCCCATGTCAGGCTCTGTGCTGACAGCTCAGAGCCTGGAGCCTGCTTCAGATTCTGTATCTCCCTCTCTCTCTGCTCCTCCCTGCTCACACGCTATCTCTCAAAAACAAATCAAGATTAAAAAAATTAAAAAAAATTTAATCTTAACCCCACTCCTTTTGGCAACTAATGGAAATACAGAATACAAAAGATGAATTATCTGTCAGTGTATTTTATCAAGTCTTTGTAACAGTTCCATAATGAACTTTGCTGTGATCTGTTAAAGAGTCTTCAAATTAAATAATGACGATGCTTAAAAATTGTAATTTTTCCCTTATAGCAAACTTAACTCAAACAGAACAAAAAGGGATTGTACTAATAATCCTCACATGAAGTCTGAGAATGAATGTCTTGTGCAAGGTCAACGCAGCTATTTCTGTATCACCGAGATATAAAGTTAAATGTGGTGTCTTCAGCTGTTTGAATAAAAAAGGGGGGGTTATTTTAATTTTTTTTATTAATATGAAATTTATTATCAGATTGGTTTCCATACAACACCCAGTGCTCATCCCAATAGGTGCCCTCCTCAGTACCCATCACCCACTTTCCCCTCCCTCCCACCCCCCATCAACCCTCAGTTTATTCTCAGTTTTTAAGAGTCTCCTATGGTTTGGCTCCCTCCCTCTCTAACCTCTTTTATTTTTTTTCCTTCCCCTCCCCATCGTCTTCTGGTAAGTTTCTTAGGATCCACATAAGAGTGAAAACATATGGTACCTGTCTTTCTCTGTATGACTTATTTCACTTAGCATAACGCTCTCCAGTTCCATCCACGTTGCTGCAAAAGGCCATATTTCATTCTTTCTCATTGCCGCGTAGTATTCCATTGTGTATATAAACCACAATTCCTTTATCCATTCATCAGTTGATGGACATTTAGACTCTTTCTGTACTTTGGCTATTGTTGAAAGTGCTGCTATAAACATTGGGGTACCAGTGCCCCTATGCATCAACACTCCTGTATCAGAAAGGGGGGTTTTAAATACAAGAACAAAAAAGCTTTTATTCTGAATCATAGTTGGTAAGACAAATGAAAAAAAAAAAAACAAAAAACAAAACCCAAAACGTGTGAATGGTTTTTTAAGATGATTTGTTACTAATAATTTGTTTTTGACACACTGGGGTACCTTCACTGAGAATGGAGAGTAGAGAGTGCTGGTTGAATCATGATTTATTTTATTCACTTTTGGTTTTATTTGTGAAATAGGCTACACAGCAGGCATCTTCATCTTCACCCAAACTGAGTGACACGTCACGTTCTTCCTCTTCCTTGGAAAATACAGAAAAGACACACAGCAGTTTGGCCTCCTCCTTATCTAGAGAAAGACAGTCCTGGATCGACATAGTTAATAGTTCTGCTGCTGCTGACGATGAGGGACAGTCTATAACACTTGCCGTAAATGTTCACTCACCTGCACCCTCAGAGGCAAACAGTCGCAAAGCCCTGGAAAACAGCTGTGCCACATCAGAAAGTGAATTTTTGAACTCTTTGTCTAGTGATGACGCTTCTTCATTGAGTAGCAACCTGGACCATCTTACTGTCCCAGACAAGCCCACTGGATCAAAGATGGCGGACAGAGGTAAACCAAGACGTTGTTTACTCTTCTCTAGAGAGCGAATATTTGTGTATAGATGTGGAACTCGAAGGTTAATTCGTAAAAAGAACATTTAAAGGCATGAATGATAATTCAATAATTAAACAGTCAGGTGGGGCTAAGCGCAGGGGTTACTTCTGAAAAAGAGTGTATGTGGAAGATTCCAGCTTCAAGGCCATTAATCATCCACTGTAAGTGTTACTGGCCAAATGCTTACAGGTATGAGACATGCGATTTCCCACCAATCTGAGGAAACTCTTGACTCCTTTTTGGTCCCATGTCCTATGCTCTGGAGCCTGTGGTGATTAGATCAGGATTTTGTAAATTGATACTTATAACATTGTCTTTGTGGCTCCAAACAAATGGAGAGCCATCACCTTCCCTGGACCGTGACCACAGTCAAGGTCTGGGTCCTTGCTGGTTGGCTTCTGAAGGTGCCCGTGTGGTTGAAAGGAAGACAGACAACTTTCATGCACTTTGGAAGGCAGCACTAGAACTTTCAAACACAAAGGTGAGCACAGTTTATGCTTTTGAAATAAAATAATTTAAGTCTTAGCAAAGGGAAGAGTTAATGGAGTGTAGAAATTAATAATGCAAACTTTCTTTTTTTAAAAAATTTTTTAATGGTTATTTTATTTTTGAGAGAGAGAGAGATACAGAATGCAAGCAGGGGAGGGGCAGAGAAGGAGGGAGACACAGAATCTGAAGTAGGTTCCAGGCTCTGAACGCTCAGCACAGAGCCCGACGTGGGCCTTGAACTCACAAACCGTGAGATCATGACCTGAGCCAAAGTCAGATGCTTAACCGACTGAGACCACTGAGCCACCCAGGTGTCCCTATAATGTGAACTTCCTTAATACTCTGTGATAATTGGTCTTTATCTTTTGTTCAGACACGCTTTTTTTTTTTTGTTTTGTTTTCAATCATGATGCATCTTTTTGGATAGTCTGTACCTTATTTATTTATTCAGGTATAAAACAAGCTTACCTGATCAAAAGATACTGAGCAATGAGAGAATGTTGAGTTTGGTTTGTATTTTTTTCAGTGTACTAGTGAGAAGAAGTTGACCAGTGAAATTCTCAGGATAACATTTCCAGAGTGGCCCGAAAACACAGATGGCTGCTCTCCCCTCTTCCCTAGCCTGATCAGGGAAAGTTTCTTTCAGTCCTCAAATCTCCAGATAATACCCTATTAATTTAATGTTTGGTGTCAGGGTAATTTGAGCCAAGTATCACAACTGCAGGCCCAGTTGTGTGTGTATGTGTACACAGTATTTTGAAATATACAAATTGGAACGCTCAGGCTGGGGACTCCACTCGCCAAGTCACCACGGTTGTCACCACTGCTTGTGGCCTTATCCAAATACTTCACGCAGTTGAGTTACCTGCCTGGCTACTCATGGCCTTTTTTGCTTAATACCCCTAATTTTAGGCCTGTGATCTACTTTACATTTGAAAACGTGGAGTGAATGAAGTAATTGGTGAAATGACTCCTACGTCTTACTCCTATGAAATTACGCCTATGTCTATAGGCGAAGGCAGTGGGACAAGGAGGAGAATGGAAACAACAATGAGGAGTATAGGGGGAGTCACAAGTGAACTCTGAAGAATGGAAACAGTAGACACAAGCTGGCCTCTGGTTTCAGAGGTGCTGTTGTGTAGAAGAAATGTTGGGCGTAACCTCTGTCTCCTTGGAAGTAAAAACCGATGCAGATTGTGCGGCTAGTGGCGCAAGTAAAAAGGAGGTAGTTTGAAATGCAGCATAAGAAACTTCTTTTTAATTGGGGCACCTGGGTGACTCAGTTGGTCGAGAGTCTTGATTTTAGCTCAGATCATGATCCAGAGTCATGGGATCAAGCCCGCGTGGCACTCTCTGCAGAGTGTGGAGCCTGCTTAAGATTCTCTCTCTCTCTCTCTCTCTCTCTCTCTCTCTCTCTCTGCTCCTCTTCCTCCCCAGCCCCAACCAAGCTTGCATGCATGTGTGCCCCCCTCTCTAAAAAAAAAATAAAAAAATAAGCTTCTTTTTTATGTTGAAAACAGTTCAAGATTGAATGGGTTTCTTGGAAAGTAGTGCATTCCTTGTCATTGGAGGTTTTTCCTCATTCTGAGACAACCATTTTCATTGGGTTTTAATTGCATATCACCTATTGATCACAATTTTTCTTCTTACAAAGATATGCTGAAGAGAGGATTTAAGTATCTTGAACTGGATGGCCTCTAACTTGATACTTGGCAGAGGCTTCCAGATACAAGGCTGCTTGAACTAAAGAAAATCATGCAAAGTAGCACATCTATTATTTTCTAGGTGAAAACTCTTACTTTACTCATGGGGCCATGCGTAGAACTAAAACCTGTCATGTATGCACACGTGCACGTGTGCTCTCTCTGTCTCTCTTTCACGCACACACGCACATACGCACACACACACACACACACCACCCCCAAATGAGGATGGCTTTAAAAGCAAAATAGAGAATAAAATTCCATTTGCATTCTTTGCTATGAGATGACCCTGCGGATTAAGTTTTTCTTTAGGACGAATAACCTGTGAGTCATGAGAAGTTGCATGCAGCTCTTGTCCATGTCATTCTGGGAGTGCAGGGGCTGCAGAGCTGGCTGGGGACCAATGTCTCTTTTAGTCTAAGGAAGAAGAAACCTGGTATTTTTAAATTTTGAGTTAAGTGCAGATTGACTGACAAAATCTCTGTGCTTCCTCAGACTGCTTGACATGAAGGTATTCCTCTCAGTAGAAAGGAGGAGAAAATAAAAGTATTTTTCCCTCACCGATGTGTTGGCAGTTGCCATATGTTACAAAATTTTTGCTGATGATCTTCCCCTGCTGCTGGGGATTTGGTTAAATTCCCAGAAGAGTTAAACCACATAAAGTCATTGCTATGGAAACAGAGACCAGGTCTTTTTTTGCGTTTGTGATGATTTGCTGTTGAGTAATCAGTCTGCATATTATGCTTTTTTTTTTTTTAACGTGTGTGTTGGAGAATAAGGTAGCTTTTCACTTCTGTGGCTTCTAAAAATTATTCTTTTTAGCTGCCAATTAAAAAAGGAAAAGCCCTGAAGTTCCTGTGTCTGAAATATTGTTCAGGGTGTTTTTATGACAGGGATTGGAATGTCAACACAGTCCAAAACAGGAGTTAGGATTTTAGATTAAGTCGCAGTCTCAAGATGCATTTGCTGGAGAATGAGGCTTGTATCCTAGAAAAGATTCTTATAGGTTACTGTGTCCTGAAACAAGCAGACAGCGTGCATTACAGCCTTCTTTTTATTTTGACAATGAGAGAAATATTTTGCAGTTAGGCAATTACAATTGTGGTTGCTAGAATTTTATACTGAATTTAAGTGGCTTTTTAGACATCTCTTCCCTGTGGTGTGAGCTAATAAAAAAATGCAGGGTGTTAATTGCATCCTACTGCCTTTCTGCTTTGGGAGTTCCAGAGTTCCAGAGCTATCCAGATTCCTCACAGAGTCTTTCCACAAAGCACAGTGGGAAAAGAGGTGATGGGGTCAGTGGAATAGTCCTCTCAGCTCGGTTTTACACTGTATCGTTTCCTTCTTTTGTGAGAGGTTACTTGGCCTGGTACTTATGCCTCTGTGATAAAGACTCACATGTATGTCTCTATTTACTTTATGCTGACAATGTGGAGATGATTTTATGTATGCTTACATAAAGGGTATGGAGTGACCACACCCTGGATGCTGAAAAGCTGAATAACCACTAATAAGACTAACGCTCAATTTATGTGAATAAATGGTCAAGTAAAAGGCCAGTCAGAATCAATCTGGGCATCATGTTGACTTAAAAGAATTTTTAGTGAAGAGACAGGCATACTAGAGCATGCATGACATCTCAAGAATGGGACATAAATGAACCAGATTTTAAGAGTTAGTAAACATTACCAAAATTTTTACACAATCTGAGTGCAGACAGGATGGATGCTACGTTATTTGAGTTAGCTACTTCAGATGTTGCTGTAGAAATGATGTGGCATGTCTCTTTAGGAAGCAAGAGGATAATTAAAAAAACGTTGGATACTGAAGTCGATTCAATTTAGCCTTATTTTATTGACTACCTAACACGTACTCATGACCGTGTCCTACCAGGAAGACACAGATGAAGAAGATAAAACTTCTGGCCTAAAAATTTTAACATCTGATGGGGAGAGTGGGAGGAATAAGACTTATTTAACAAAAGAAAGCAAAGTAAGTGCCACAGAGAGATAGAAGGTACTCGAGGGATTTAAAGGAGAGCAGGCGTTCAAAACAGAGAAGGTCACATCTAAGTAATCTGTGATGCAGGTGGGAGGGTCTGCACACAGAGAGGGGGGCCGTAAGAAAGAGGGATGGAAAAGAAATTTGGATGATGTTGAATGCTGGGCTGGTCGTTAGTTTATTTCAGTAGATCGTGGATGATTGTTTCTGGTCAGCGTACTCATATAATGAAAACAATACTTTAGAAAAATCATGTCTACTTCAGAATGTGGGGTAGACACATATAAGGGGACACAGGAAATTGGAAGAGTGGGAAACTTTTAGAGTAGCTGGGGTGGCAGTGGAAATGGGAAGCAAAGGAGGAACTAAAGGGTTTCTGTAGTATGCCTGTCAAGGTGAAGAGCGCTTGCTCTTTGTATCTCCATTACTTAATTCGGTCCCTGGATTTCCCAGGGATCCCATTTTTTGAACTATAATTTGAGAAGTGATCCCAAAATAGGGATAAATATTTACAATAGGATAAATCATGAATCTATGTCTCTCTCTCTCTAGGCTTATTTCTGCAGGTCTCTAGTCTTTTACTGATGTTTTATCTTCTGCTTTGATGGCAGAGGAGTTAGATCCTCCCTTTATAGCATGCTTTATTATTCAGTAGAAGATTACTCTCCTTTGCATGATCTTCCAGGTAAATTTTTGGATTTGATTTTCAAGTTTAATTTAAAAAATCACATTTGGATTTTGATTAAAATTTTCTTGAACTTT